TGTGTCCCCTTGCGCAGAGCAGTCTGTGTTTCACTCACCTGGTTGCAGGTGAAGTTCTCTGAGAGGCCAGCTTCATGTGGGAGTCTCCTGCAAGACTTCCAATTCTGTGTGGGCCCCAGGTTTTATCCCCAGTGCTCTACTATCAAAAAAGGCTTTTAAAAGTTCAAGGTTTCCACGTTTGGGCAGAAACACTGAGAGAGCTGGCTTTGGTTCTCCTCTCCCAAAGTTGCTACTTTCGTCTTGTTTTTTATTTCTCCATATTTCTTTCTTTTGAGTCATCTCAGTGATGCCCTTGGCAAGTGCTTTCTTTGTTATTTTATCCAGCCTTTCGGTGTTTGCCTTGGGTAAATCTCTTAGCCTATTGGTTCAACGACCCAAGGGCAGTGCGGTGTGGAGCTGGGGTGGCAGCCACCCAGATGCAGCGTGTGCACGGAACCGAAGACGTCAGTAAGCACTGCGTCCAAGGAGTGAGAAGCGTGGGAACCAACTGGAGACACAGGAGTAGCCGCGTTCACCATCCGTCTTTCCAGTGACCCACTGGCATACATTTTCTGTCCTATTTCTACAGCTCTGGGCTCTGCAGAGTTAAAATGTGTCATTTTAAGAAGTCCCAATCCTCAGAGTAGGTGCCTCTAACCCGAAGCACACCAAGAGTCCCACTGAATTATAAGCTACAGATGAGACCAGGGTGCTTGTATTATCTGTGCCCAGGTACCAGTTGGTGAGAAAAAGAGCTGCCATACTGGCAACCGCCGAGTCCAGCAGAGGTGAAGGTGGAGGGCGGGGAAATTTAGAATGGATAGTGGAGGAGAGAGAGACAATGAATGCATAAATGAGTGGAACAACACATCGATATCTCTCTCTATCCTTTCCTCTCTCACCATAAAAGTCAATAAATAAAAGAAATTAATCTTGAAAAGTAATTTTTAAATAAAATGATTATCCATAGTTTTTAACTTTATATCATTGTCTCTTCATTCACTTATTCATTCAACAAACATGCAGTTCTCTGTGCCAATTATCATGCTGAGGTAATGAAGTAAGGAACATCTTACCAGATAATTCCCGGCATTAAATACTGTGAAAACTTCTAGATAGAAACACCAAAACCCTACTTTTGTGTGGATAACAAATTCATTGTTTGACCACAAAGCCCAGGAGGGCCTGGTTTCTAGTTGTTCCTAAACCACCCTCCCATGCACATGTGAATGAACCCAGGAACCCCAGCGACGAGGTCATCAAGCAGCTGTTGCACTCACACCCATTCACAAAGAAGTGAACGAGATCGAACGTTTCTCTGAGAGATGAGGAATGTAAGTTGCATATTGCCTGTTGAGTCAGTTCTTCAGGAGTCCATTCAGTAGTACTCATGGCTTCTTGAAAAGGAGAACAATATTTAAAAACTAACTTCACTAAAAAATCCCAGATTAAAAGGATCAAACTTGTGTCGGTATCCATCATGTTCTAGGCATTTCCACACTCTGTTTCACTTATACGGCCCCCACTGGCCAAGGGCAAGTGCCACCTCTCCACTCTGCGTGTCCCCTTGGTGCGCGTGGAAGGCCTGGCGGTGCTGCCGGCGAGCTGGACCGGGTGTGCGTGTGGGCAGAACTCTCCCTGCTGCACCCCAGACTGTCTGTGGCTGTGCGGCGTGTACTCCTAATTCAAACTGAATTCCCAGTCTCGAGCAGAAACATCCTCTGAAGTCACTGGGAAAGTATGGCGAGGTTGAGAGCTGACATTCTGAGGCTGCCCTTGTTTGGCATTGGATCGAACGCTGCATCTGCCGTTGGCACAGCGGCCATGTGCTGACCTTCATCTCTTTGCACAGCATGTAGGCAAGAAACGACTTGGTAAAGATTTTTATCTACCCCACCCCTTCTGGAGCTGGATAGTTTTTAAGTCGTGGCATCAGTTACACTTACAACTATTCTTCAATCTTTATATCAATAACATATTCAAACACATTGAATCTCCTCCTGCAGTGGGCATTGACTGAGTTCCATATCTGATGCCTAAGTAACTACCAGGGCCTGTGTTAAGAGAAAAATTCTAAACTGTTTCCCTCTTCTGCTTCGTCATGCCTGGGAGAAGCAGACTCTCTTTTACTAATCTACGAACAATTTAAAAAGAATAAAAATCAGGGTTGATCAAGTTCAAGTTACTATCTTTATGTATTGGCATTTGGAAATGTCTCTAGTCATTGTTTTTCATTATCACTGTGGCTTTTAAAGCCTCCACTAGAGTCATTTTGTCAAATGAGTGAACACCAGCAACTGCAGGAAAACAATGGGCCTCCCTTTGTAATGTGATGTGGGGAAAATATTTTTTAATTTCCTAACAGGTGCAAGGCTATGAGTCTGACTCATAAAGATAGTAATTATACCTCTTTTCTGAAGTGAGGCAGCAGAGAGAGAACACACAAAAATTAATGAAGAAAGCAAGACTTGGGTTCATTTTATCTGGAGAATTCAGGATCCTGACAGGTTTTTTAACGTGAATCATTGCTTTGTGAAGTACGGCACCGGAGCGGGTATTTGTCTTTGTGTCAAAAACAAGGACTCTTAGCAAATTGAATCTCTCCCTACCTTTAGACAACTCAAGAAAGATAAAATCTTAAGGGCTTTAGAAAGTTGAGCAGGGATAAAGCCTTCTTGCAGATTGGAACAAAATTCTTACCAGTTTCAACTGGCAGATAAAATGTATCGCAGAACTGACTTTCCCCTAAAGAACTTTTCATGTCAGACTCCATACAGGTCAGTGGTAATGGTGCTACGTTGTGTGAAAACGAGGGCTGATGGGCCCACGTGGAGGGTGCACGTTAGTATCACATGAATCAAAATGAGAAATGTTTTCTCATTCCTTAAGTAGTGAAAGAAAGGTGGGGAGGGGGGGAGGAGGAGAGGGCTGGTTTGACAATAAGGTGGCATGACAATGACCAGCTGAAAACAAGAGGCAAAAGGGGTAAGATAGGTGCCCTTCGATTTGAATTGCAATGAATAAACACGTGACCTTGAATATTTGCTCCATGCCCTGTTCAGTACTTGCAGATCACAGATGTGGTCATAAAATAGCCCCCAGTCCAATTCAGCTCAGTAGAAGATTCTCTCTCTTTCTCTCCCTCATTGTTTGGTATATGATATAAAATGATAAAAATAGACATTGATGAAAAGGAAATTGCTAGGAATTAATTTGATAAGAAAATTACAAAGAGCAGCTACTAGTCACCCTCGCTCCTGGCACTCCTGCATATTCTTAAATTGTCCTCCGATGGCTTTCAGCAATTTTTCTCCCAGGCTCCTTTGCCGCCGCAGTTTATTCAGCTTTGGGAGACTGACGGTCTCGATGGATGGATGCCCTCTTGCACACAGCGATGTGCTGTGCGTCACTTTGCCATCATCACTGTGGTGCCTGACAGTGACACCAAAGAAGATTTGTTTGAGGTTTCCTTGAGCACCAAACAAAAAGCAAGCAAGCAAACAAAACCTACCTGAAATTAGATCTCGTCATTGGCTGCAGAGAAGGACAAGTTGTCACAGACTTCTGGTACTTAAGCAGACCATTATTTAAAGGGGTGTGAGAACAAGAATAGCAGAAGCCCAGAACTAACAGTCAGGAAAGTGTTTCAGGCACAACTTGGATCACTGAGTTCATTAGTTTTTTTTTTTTTGTTTTTACTGACATCTACAACTACAGGGAGAGGAAATATCACTAAGAATTCACTGTGTTCCTTGGTGCTGTGGACTGAATTGTGTCCCCCACCACACAAAATTCGTATGTTGAAGTCCTAATCCCTAATATGGCACTACTTGGAGATCCAACCTTTAAAGAGATAAATTTAGATGAGGTCCTCAGGGTAAGACCCTAATCCAATAGGATCAGTGTCCTTATAAGAAAAGGAAGAGCCCTGGCCAGGTGGCTTGCTTGGTTGGGGGCATTGTCCTATACACCAAAACACAGTGTGTTCAACTTCCAGTCAGGGCATCTGCCCAGTGTGTGGATTCGAACCCCAGTTGGGGCAGTTACGGGAAGCAACTGATTGATGTTTCTCTCTCACATGGATATTTCTCTCTATCTTCCTTTCTCTCTAAAAATCAATAAACATATCCTCAGGTGAGGATTGGAAGGAAGGAGGGAAGGAAGGAAGGAAGGAAGGAAGGAAGGAAGGAAGGAAGGAAGGAAGGAAGGAAGGAAGGAAGGAAGGAAGGAAGGAAGGAAGGAATATGAAAAAGAAAAGAGAAAAAAGAAAAAGCACTGTGGCCAGCTCACTCTGCATAAGAAAAGAAAGGGACACAAGGGATGTGCATGCACAGAGGGAAGAGCCTGCGAAGACACAGTGACAAGACTCGCCTTGCCAACTGCAAGCCAAGGAGAGAAGCCTCAGGAGAAACCAAACCTGCCAACACCTTAAACTTGTTATGGCAGCCCAAGCAGGCTAAGATATTCAGATGGTTTTTAGTATAACACCATCCCATTGTGATTTTCAGTTGCAGCCCGGGAGCATGGATAGCCAGAATCCATGAAAGGCGATGTACACACCAAATTTGGCTTCTCTGTCGATTTTCGTCTCTCTTGTGCATTATGCTAATAGCAAAAGGAAGGCCCATTGATTAGATTCAGTGTGATGGCACTGTGCTAGGTGCCCTGAGAACATAAAAATGACTCATGGGGTCACTTCCCTTAAGGAACATGTCATTTCCTGGAGAAAGGACAAAATGAGTCAGGGCTCTGATATAGGTATAAGATTGACTAATTCTAATTTTGGGCTTAGGGTTGTGGGAAGGACAGGAAGGATCAGGGAAGGTTTCACGAAGTGGGAGAAATTCGAGTAAGACTATTTTGGTCACTACTGCCATCTAACAAACCACTCCCATCTCAGTGGCATACAGTCACCACCACTTTATAATGCCCAGAGAGTCTGTGTGTCAGGAATTTGGGTGGGACACATTGTGGACAGCTTGTTTCTGCTCTATGCTGTCTGAACCCCAGTTCAGATAAAGTCAACCTATTATGCCACAGTGGTCTCCAGACCGGTTGCTGAGAACAGGCTCTTCACACTTCAGCGGCGGGTCCTGCTCGTAAACCAGCCAGACGTAGCGGTGGAGGCCTGTGCCCTTAGGAGGCCCAGAGCCCACATAGTCGGAGAGAACTGTACCACTGCCGATGTCATTGCCCTTCATGTTGACCACCAGGAAGTGGTGCCATTCCCTATATTTGGGGTCCTTTCGGCTCGGAGCATCCGGGTCTGTCAAGACCAAGGTATAGAGTTTACTTGCATTAAGGCCATCCCATGCAATACTGGTGGGCCGGTTCTTAACCTGGGTGGGTGTCAGCACTTTGCCCAGCTCGTCAACTTCCACCCCGGTGTACTTGACCTGCAGCGGGTGCTGCGGCCGCTCTTCCACTTCCTGCAGGCTCAAGGGCCTGGACCACTGGCCGATGTCCACCAGCATCGCGAGGCCGAGCAGGAGGGAGCACTACCGGGGAAACGCCGCAGACCAGGCGCGAGTCAACAGTACCGACTCAAAGCGGTTCACAAACTCAAAATTCTTTTTTTTAAGATTTTATTTTTTATTTATTTTTAGAGAGGGGAAGGGAGGGAGAAAGAGAGAGAGAGAGAAACATCAATGTTTGGTTGCATCTCATGTGGCCCCCACTGGGGGACCTGACCCAGGCATGTGCCTTAACTGGGAATCGAACCTGTGACCCTTTGGTTCACAGCCTGCGCTCAATCCACTGACCTACACCAGCCGGGGCTGGTTAAAATTCTTGAATCAAGAAGTGCTTTGGCCTAATAATAGATTAACTTTATCTGGCTGGGAATGAAACAAAGTTGCAGGGGCTGAAAGAATTCACTTCCAGGATGGCTTCTTCACTCATGTGCTGGGCACATGGGGTGAAGGACAGGCTCAGCTGGAATGTCCTTCCAGCTGAGCACCTCCCGAGGGGCTCTCCAGCACAGCAGCCTCGGGGCAGTTGACTTCTTACAAGGATGTCAGGGCTTTGGTATCAATGCTCCTGGCAAAGGAAGTGAAAACCACATAGCCTTCTATGACCTAGCCTCAGAAATCACATAACATCATTTCCGCTATGCTAATTCATGGAAGCAGTCCCATTTAAAAGGAGAGGATGGACTTCCGGTCAAGATGGTGGTGTAGGCAGACATGGCTTGCCTTCTAACACAACCACGTCAAAATTACAGCTAAAATATAGAAATACCATTGTTCAAACCATCAGAAATTGAATGGAAGTATGACAGCTACAGAATTAAAGAAACCACATCCATCCAGACTGGTAAGAGGGATGCAGACAGAGTCCCACACTCATGTGTGGTGGATAAAAATTTGGGAAGGTTATTTTGGGAGCGAGGAGTCCTAGCTCCATACCAGGCACCCCAGCCCAGGATTCCAATGCCAGGAAGATAAGTCCCCACAACTTCTGGCTGCAAAAACCAGTGGATACTGAGTCAGTGTAAGAAACTGCTGGAGCCCCCCATAGCATCTTGAAAGGCACAAGTGGCATCCAAGGAGAAACTGAAGTGTCTGGCACCAAGGAAAGCTGAGGCCATTGTCCCTTTTCTAAACCTTCCCCATACAGAGTCACAGAACTGGCAAGCTGTTGCCATATTTAAGACTCCATCAACCTGGCTAACACTGGTCCATCTTGGAGGTGTCCAGAACCTCTGCCCCACCAACTTATGGGCCCACCCAAGCTGCTTTTCCATGAGTGGCTGGTCTTGGCTGATGTTGCAAATCTTCCTAAATCCTCTCAAACAACCAACAGCTGGCCTCAGTGAGCCCCAGGCCTGGCACTAGCACAACCAGCTTAGATTCACAGCTTGGCTTCACCTGGGAATCTCCAAGCCCAGCACAAGGAGCGGCCATCTCAGATTGCTTTATAGCTCAGGCAGGGTGCCCCAGGCAAACATATGTCGGGGCTGAACTTGGCCCACACCATCCGGAAAACCAGCACACCCAGTGGACAGCTACAGACCACGTTGGAGCACCACCATCCTGCACCTACACACCTGATCCTCCAAGAAGGGCAGAGGTTTGTGGTAAGTGGTCACAGCCAATCCTTGCAGCTGACTGGCCTGGGTAAATCCCTCCCATTGATCTGCCAACAGCAACCAAGTCTCAACTATAAAAAAGAGAGTGTACTCAGCAGACATGAAGGACGCACCTTGAATATTTAGCTTGGGTGATAGGGGAGGCCATGCCACTGGACACTACAGGGAATCTATTACACTGGGGCAGAGAGAGAGTCAAAGAAACTCTACCTAATACATAGAAACAAACACAGGGAGACTGCCAACACGAGGAGATGAAGAAACACAGCCCAAAGGAAAGAGCAGATCAAAACTCCAGAAAAAGAACTAAATGAAATGGAAATAAGCAATCTATCAGATTCAGAGTTCAAAACGCTGTTTATAAGGTTGCTTAAGGAACTTAATGAGGACCTAAGCAGCATAAAAAAGACCCAGTCAGAAACTAAGGATACACTAATTGAAATAAAGAACAATTCACAGGGAAACAACAGTAGAGTGGATGAAGCTGAGACTCAAATCAATGATTTGGAACATAAGGAAGCAAAAAACCAATCAGAAAAACAAGAAGAAAAAAGAATCCAAAAATGAGGATAGTAGAAGCAGTTTCTGGGACAACTTCAAGAAGTCCAACATTTGCATCATAGGGGTGCCAGAAGGAGAAGAGAAAGAGCAAGAAATTAGAAACCTATTTGAAAAAATAATGAAAGAAAACTTCCCTAATGTGGTGAAGGAAATAGACATGTAAATGCAGGAAGCACAGAGTCCCAAAGAAAATATATACAAAGAGGCCCAATCTAAGACACATAATCATTAAAATGCCAAAGGTCAAAGATAAAGAATCTTAAAAGCAGCAAGAGAAAAGAAGTTAGTTACCTATAGGGGAGTTCCCATAAGACTGCTAGTTGATCTCTCAAAAGAAACACTGCAGGCTAGAAGGGACTGGCAAGAAATATCAAGGACATGAAAAGTGGGGACCAACAGCCAAGATTGCTCTATCCAGCAAAGCTATCATTTAGAATCTAAGGGCAGATACAGAGTTTCTCAGAAGAGAAAAAACTAAAGGAGCTCATCATCACTGAAACTTTATTATATGAAATATTAAAGGGGCTTATTAAAGAAAAAGAAGATCAAAACTTTGAACAATAAAATGGCAATAAATATGTACCACTCAACAACTAAATCTAATAGACAAGCTAAGCAAACAAGAAGAACAGAGACAGAATCATAGATATGGTGAGCATTTTGATAGCTGCCAGATGGGAGGGGCGTGGGGGGGAATGGGTGAAGAGGTGAGGGGATTAAGAAGTACAAATAGGTAGTCACAGAATAGCCATGGGGATGTAAAGTACAATATAGGAAATGGAGCAGCCAAAGAACTTGTATGTATGACCCATGGACATGAACAACAGTGTGGGGATTGCCTGAGGAAGGGTGAGTATTGGGTGGAGGGGATCAAAGGGGGGAAAATCAGGACAACTGTAATAGCATAATCAATAAAACAGATTGTTTTTTAAAAAAGGAGGGGACATACACCTCACCTCTCTGTGAAAGGAGTAATCAAATATTTTTTGCCATATTTTAAAATTGCCACAGGACCTTGAAGCATGAATAGAATTTCAATAAATCTCATGCACTGAAGTTTTATTGCCTAAAATATTTTTTTCCGATTTTACATGGAATGCACATTATTTAAAACAAAATTATAGAAAAATATAAAGAAACTCATTGTTTATTTTATGAGCTAGCTTTGTGCCTGCACCTGAGCTAAAAATTAGAGCTATAACCTTAAGTAAGACACAATTCCTACCCTCAAGTTGTTTACAGTCTGTTAAACTGTGCATGACACCCCGTTAAGAGTTGCCGCTGCCATTATTGCTGGTGCCGTTTTTTTCCAATTTAAATGAAACAAATCGAGGTGACCCTGTGCATGCAGTCTTACGTCCCATTTTATCTGTCTCCTCTGGCACACAGGGTAGTGTCAGAATTCTCTTCATAGTGTTCAGTATTCTATAAAACTTTGGTTTTGAATGGATCATATGAATAGACTACTGTTATTCCATCATTTCCCTGTTGCCAAACATTTTTGCTGCTACAACATAATGCTGTAAAAAATACACTTACTCATCTTTAGACTTGTCTGACAATTTTCTTAGGATAAATTCCTGAATTAGGTGAGTTACCAATTCAGGAAAAAAGCCAACATTTTAGAAGCTCTTGATTAGAGTTTTCCAATTTGGTTTGCAAAACTGCCATCTCGGTTTGCATTTCCACTGGAGCATCAAACTGCAGAGCCCGTGGTAAGCCAGCCTGTTCCCCAGGTACAGGGTGGAGTGAATTGGCCCAGCCTGAACTGAACTAAAAAACACTGAAAGAAGCCAAAAGGCAAGTTGTAAACCACAATCAGCTAATGACTGGCCTGGGCTTGGCAACCAAAGAGGTGGATTCGAGGAAATAATGTCTGTGGAGTCAGGGTAAATGAAAGACTTCATTGGCTTCTAGAGCAGCTTTGGGGCAACATTCTCGAACAAAGCGACTTAAGGGACACTCAGAAACACAGGTTCTTTGTGGGTGTGAGTTAGGGCTCCTAGGGTGATAGGCAACAGAAACCAACCCTGGCTAATCTAGACCGAAAAGGAATTGACTGGAAAAACAGCTGATTTCTCAATGGCTTGGGCACCGGGCTGGGAAACCAGGATGGGATGGGCAGAAACTGAGAGTCCCACGAGCAGGAAGCAGTGTAGACAGAGGGTCTAAGGCAAGGGCTCTTCCCCAGGGGTCACCTGGGCACATCGCGGTGAATAGTGAACAGATGAGCTCCGTTGGTTTCTGCCTTTTGACGACTTTGCTCAAATTCAGATTGCAGGGAAGATGGGTCTGACTGACCTCAAAGGGTCCGCACTTCTGCCCTTGGGCCCGGGTCCGGCAGGCTCTCCAACAGCTTCCCGCATGTGTTAGGGGAACTCGGGGCACAGCCGGCTCCATTTGAAAACTGTCTACCACACCATGACACGTTACCTGTCAGGGGAGGTGCACCACTACCTCACTGTTGTTAGCCCCTGAGCCCAGATGTATGGGCCACACTGAGCCCCTCCCTGCCTCCTGACCTCAGCCCACCGAAGCCGGATGCCGTGGAGATGATACGAGAGCCAGGGACTCGCAGGCTGTGGTGGGAGACAGAATGAGAAGCTGAACATGAGCCACAGTGATGAGGTGCTGTGCTGGAAGTAGGTACGAGCAACTAAAACAGATAATCCTGCCTTAACTTGCACTGAGCCTTAGCCTCTTCCCCTCTCCCTTCCTTCTTCATCTACAGCTCTGGGCTTTGACTCACTGAAAGTAGCCAGGGGGGATGTTGATGCAGGGCCAGAGCCAGGCCCCGCCAGCCGCCTTCTGATCCGCTGGCGTCCCCT